TCTCGTTATGGTGGTCTGGTCCGCACCGGGGTTCAAATGACAGCTTCACACCAACACAAACAAACTGCACTAACTTGGCAAAACGGACTCCAGTTTATTTCAGCCGAACCGCCCAGAGTGTTTATGTTCATATTCTGTTTAAATTCTTCGCTGTCCTGTCCCTTTGTTTCTCATTTAACTTCCTTCTTTCCACCTGTGTGATTGGTCGCTCTGTCCTGCTGTGTAACGGATGTATCTTCTGTAAGTACAGCGTGTTTTAAGTTTGTCACTGTGAGCTCAAGGTGAAATTAAAACATAATGCCCTTGTATTTTAATAGTGACACTTTTACACACTCTTCAATGTCTCACACATGCACACAAACCACACCTTCACAAACACACAATGCTGTTTTGAGGCCTAATAAAACATTTTTATTATGAGGTTGCAGGGCGGGTTCCATTATGGAAATACGGGACGTTTTTATGAGCGGGTTGTGGCCCTCTGCTCGTATGAAACATTCAGGCTCGCAGAAAAAATGTGACAATCACAGAAAAATGGCCAAGCAGAATTGCCGTCATGGTTCTTTCCAGTCGCTCGCTCTGCCTTTCACTACCGCCACCTTCTCCCTCTCTATTATCATACTAAATGAATGTCATGTCTGAGGCACAGTCAGGCAGAAATGGGTTTTCTGCGAGAGGGTGAAAAAGCAGACTTCTCCGTATCAAGATCTTCGCCTCGCTCCATCATTTTGGTTGCTATTGGCGCAGACAGAAAGCTGCAGCTGCTAATCTAACCGCAGACTAAAGCAGACTATGCTCTGACCTGCAGGCTCCAACATTATGACTATCACAACTAGAGAAAGAAAACAAAGAGACGACACACTTTACCCCTGATCCCACTGTGATGAAAAACGACAGGGTTCGTATAGAAGAACAGGAAGTCATTTTCTCCGCCCTCTCTGTGTGTATGGAAAGCCTTTCTATACGGCATGTAACAGAAGCCAGAAACAGCGGAAATCTATCTCAGGCGTCGTCCTCCCTGCTGAAGGAAACATTACTTACATGATAAAATATGAAGTTTATCCTCTTTCCTGGCTTTGGACCTCATTCCTGATGGTTTTAATATTTCACTCACCATCTAAACCACACGGTCTCTGAAGTTATTCGACTTTTTTTTAAAGATTTTCTAAAACTTTTCCTTCTCTTATTTTCTATTCTGCAGCTGAGTGAACATATTTTTGCCCAATTAAAACTGTCCAGTAATATCCTTCCCTAAATGTCTAGAAACATATCAGAAAGGTAGGAAAGGTACTGCAACAGGTTTTGTATATTTGCCTTTTTGCTCCAATTGCACGACAGTAAACCGATGTATTTCCAATAAGGTATCTCTAATGATGTGACACACACTCACTACAGCCCACAGGTGTTGCTATGGACACCCTGCTTACCTTTTATTGAAGGGACTCTCCTCAGTGACGACCTGAGTGGATTCAGGACCCAGCAGGAAGTGAATACGCTGGTAGAAAGACCGAGCAGCCTGAGAAAAATACAATTTAAAAATGTAAAGACGAACGCTGCTTCCTCACGTCATTTATTTTAAAGTAGTTTTTACCAGGGATGGTTCAAAGTTGACTTTATTTCTATTTATGTTTTCTTACCTGTTGAGGAGCCAGCGAGGACGGGGATAGGCTGAGCACCTCCCCCGGGGTCAGGTGATCCTTTGCAGTACTGCTGGTTCTGACAGGACGGCTGCAGGCAGCAGTCTGGATCCATACAGTCCGCCAGCCCATCTACAACACACAAACACAGTTATTATCGTCCTGGAAGGGTGGAGTATGGTATTATAATTTTAATTCTATAAAAGACACGCCATGAAAGACGCGACATGTTTATCGTTGCCGTGGAAACACTGGATGTTACGTCAAAGACGGCTGCATAAGGAAGCGGGAACTGCTTCTGTTGCTGTATGTGCTACTGTGATAAAAAAACATAATGTAAATTATACTTAAAACATTATCTTTTCCTCAGGTCACTTTCACCCGTTCGACTATGGTCTACTCAAGTTTGTTTTCATTGAGGGGTGTAGCAGCAGACAGAGAATCACTCCCATGATTCCCCGCCAGCCTCAACATCATCTTTCGTTTTGTTTTGATTGAGAGCCCCCTGCTGGCGGTATTTACATACTGTGCATATAGAAATTATATGTTAAATTATATTTATTAAGTACTAGTATTATTCGACAGCTAAAATGGTCTTGAATGTTGAAGTAGTTTGGATTAATTTTTTTAAAAAAAACACCATTATTACAATTAAAGCAACAACAAAAATATTTTAACAAACAACAATAAAACAGAAGTCAGAGTTTGGTAAGTTTTGCTGTCATACTTCTTAAACTGTTTAATGTGCTTATCCTTTCATGTTTTAACAATGATTGATTTGTAGGATGGATAAATGTACTCTCTTCACGGGGGAGGAATCAGAAGAAACTAGATATTGTTGTTTTTTATGTAAAAATGCTAAAAATGGTTGGGCATCTTGGAAAGACATAGGAAGAAATGGAGAGAATTATCCAACAGAAATATGAGGTAAATTGAAGAACAAACATGAGGGGAAAGACTGACATAAATCAAAGAGGGAAAAAAACAAAAATGTTCCTTTCTTTCTTGATTGGGAGAAATCGGAGGAATTGATGAATGACGGAAAATTGGAGCTATGTACTAGATTTTCGCAGTTTGTGTTTATCATCTGCAGGCAGGAATAATAAAGACAGAGAGACGGGGGGATTGAAGAGCAGAGGATGCAATGACAGAGAAAGAGAAGAGAGATTAGGAAGGAAAGGAGGGATAAGGAGAGAAGAGGAGGCAAGACAGATGGAGAGATGGAAGGATGAAGGAGGTATGTAAGGCTATGTAATAATATACTGGCTGCTATTTATCTCTGTTAGTTTATGAAAGCTAGTTGTACATCTGGTGAGCAGGCACAGGGGACTACCATGACACACACACACACACACACACACACACACACACACACACACACACACACACACACACACACACACACACACACACACACACACACACACACACACACACACACTTGCCCCGAGTCCTGTGTCTTCTTTCCTTTCTTTCTTTTCATGATTATTCTGCTAAATGTTTTTTCCTGATGATTTGAAATGTATAAAATATAAATATCAAATATATTTGTGAAGTAAAAGCTGTTAAAATAATTATAAAAAAAATAGTAAAAAAATAATAATAATAATGAAAAAAAAAAAAAAATAAAAAAATAAAATAAATTAAAAAAATGTGGAAAATGGCTCATATATACCTGTACACGTAGAACTGACCTTTGGCCTTGGCCTTCACTGCGTTGTGTGTTTTGATTGGCTGGTTTGTATGATGTAAAATTGATTTTAAATCAGGACTACATACATTTATTGAGAACAAGTATATGGTATCAAATCTGTCACGGTTTGTGCATCTTAGTGGTTTAAAGCTAATCCGTTAAATTTAACTGTTCTACTTCTCTAATGCACAAATAACGAGGGAGAGTTGATGATGTAGCTGGAGCAGTTCATGTGTTGCTTCTTCGAGCAACAAGGATGCTTATTGTAAATGTGGGCGAGCAGGACCTTGGCAACCTCCAGTGTTGAAAGTCAACGCAGAAGTGGTCCACTTGGGGCTGGCCACAAAAGTCAATCAGCTTCTGTTTTGTTCCTTTGGCTAATGTTAGCTGCAGATGCTAGTTAGCTAGAATTGACCCTGAAGTGTTGACAGCTGAAGTGTTTTTGTAAACCCACTGATTATTTTTCATATCTTAAGGTGACATTTATTCTGAATTGGGAAATGTTTTTTCATATTAATTGTTCAAAGTTGTTGGAATTTCTTTTTGTTCAAATCTGAATAATTCTGTCGTAATGTGTAGATTCTGCCGTAACAAACATTTTAATTCCAGGGATATTGAAATATTTTTAATCCCCACAATTGCTCTGCTGCTGGTCCTGGTTTGGTTTGTCACTCAATGTAGACACACATTTCTAATAGCAGTGCTTTAAATACAGAGTTTTTATAAAGACTACTTCCAGGCTTTTATTCACTTCTAAAGTATTACACTTTTTGATTTATATTTTTCTGCTGTACCTTTCTCTTCCTCCATAGTATCTGCCTTCTAAAAATTGCCAGTGATTTACCTCTGTCCAAACTCTGACTGTTGTTCAGCAGCCTTTTCACTTCACTGCCTCATCAAGGTTGAGGCTACATTTTCTGCATTCATCTGGCAGCTGATGAGCAGCAGCTTGAGTGGATTTAGTTAAACACCTGCTGCAGGTACAAAAAAAGTGAAGCTTTCATTTTATACACGGTACGTTCCATTCCTTTTAAAAAGTCATTCATGGAGCCTTGAGGTAATTGATGTTTGGAGCTGAAAATGATAAAGATACTTAAGAGTTTGTAACATTAGCTGGCTGAACATATTGTTTAGAATTTTATAATTAAAGATAATGTAAACAAACACTTAAGAGTAGGCTTCCTTAACCTGGTAAACCCTGAGCATAGGTTTACAAGCAGTAGAAGACTGAAAAGGCTGTCATACATTTCACTTAAAAAAACATTGGCTGTCTTCATTATCTTAGAAGAACTGATTTTGTTGCTTGAATCTAAATTGTACATGGGGTATGTACTTCATAGCAAACTTAAGCTATTGCCTTTATTTCCTCTAATGCTCACAACAAAAGGTCCAATAACAGCCACACTCAATACGTCTTCATACCTTCACGCTGGTACAGGACAAACATAGAACACTTGGTTAACATTGTGAAACGGTCACAGTCTGAGTAAGTTAGGCAACAAATATTTTGGTTTTGTGTAAGACAAAATGCCTGGGTTTAAATAAGCGTGCTATTTTTGTTACATACATGAAGTCTGTGAAGTTATGATGCTTGACCAAATCCAATGCATTGGACTCGAACCAATGTTTGTAGGGGGAAAGTTGAGTGTTGATATGGCCATTCATCACTACGTATATGCAACCATCAAATGAAGTTCTCCTGAAGCTGTGTTCAGGCTAAACAGGAATTACATTTTCCTCTTTTTCAAAAGAAAAAAAAAGGTAAAAAAAGTGGGAGATGCAAGCTAACCAAGAACGAGGTAAGTTATATGAAATTTGCGTCACTTGCATATTCATGAGTCCAAAAAATGTCAACACCAGCAAAAGCAAATCAGTGTTTAGATTTCCCTGACTTCTTGGGATGCAACGTATACAATTCAACTAACCTCCTTCGTTGTCCTTGCCGTCCGTGCAAAGCGTTTCCATGGCTACGTGACACCCGGCCCCTCTCCATCCTGATTGGCAGATGCAGTGCCAGCCACTAGCCTCCAGGGTGCAGCGACCATTGTTGTTGCAGAGACCTGGACAACCCTCTGAGACAGGGGACAGACAGACGGTTAGAAAAGTTAGAGCAGAGTAGGTGGGAGGGAGGGGTCACGGCTGGCTGTCAGGGTGTGAAATAGGCTTCAACCAACGCATAGGTTGAGAATAGTTTTGTTCTAAAGCTTCTGACAGATGGGAGGAATCAATATTGCTTTTACATTGAAGAATTTAATGCCAAAACAACAACATGCTCAGTGTTTCCCTTTAAACTTGGAAAAGCCTGTGAAACAGAAGGAGAGCATCATGGGACAGTGAATCTCCAGTGAACGTCAGAAACAGCTCGAAGGTGATCTGGCAGCCTCTGCAGGCGTGATGCAGGTTCACTGCAGGTTTCACACAGCTGAGGGAAATCCTCCTACGCCACACTGAAGCTCTCTCTCTCAGATAACACATCTGACAAAATAACAACACATAATACAATCTGGGGTCCAGCCTCGAAAAACGGGTGGAGAGAAATAGTTGTATGCTTGTAGTGTTGATGCAAAAAGAGTTTTAATAATGAACCAACACCTCGATATGACAATAAATTTAAGAAATGGACTGTCAGGTTAGGGTAAGTTTATCTGTTTCTAAAAAGTTTTGTACCATGGAGTATTTATTGGCTTATTAGTCTGAATTCAACACTCTGCACTGTATTAAACTTGCTCACATTTATTGACATTCTTTTTCTTGTTTTCATGGTTTATTTAAGATTTAAAAAAAAAAAAAAAAAGTTTTATGTGCTGTCCTGTTTCTTTGTTGACGTCTTTTGTCATTTATGTTTTTATGCTCTACGGTGCACGACAAATTCCTCTAGGGGCAATAAAGGCTTCATTCATTCATTCCAATAAACATGTATGCTTTCTATGTAAAAACATTTTTTTGGGTTTAGGACTGTTTTCTGACCGAGGACCAGTGGAAACTCAGGCTGCTCTACAGACTCGTACACATTGTGTGCTGTCTCTTCAGTTGATTTGATGTTCTCGTAACTCAAGTGGCTGCTATACTTTCCATCCACAGAGCAATTTGGGAGTGGGATTTGTAGTTTTTAGTGAAATGGATCATACCACTCTGAAGAGAAAAATCCTGCAGTTTACTGGAGTTCGACTGTCCCAGCAAAGTCTCAACACTTTTTTAAAGGCTTTTTCACAAGGTTCAAGGGAACACTCTGCGCTTCTTTTTGGCATTAAATTTGAACCTTTGTCATGTCAGCAGAAAACACTCACTGTCAGCAGCTTCAGTCCAAAAACACCTTCAGAAACACTTCAAAGAGACGCATTGGTTGAAGCCTAATGTGTGTGACAGCCCTGAGTGATGAAGCTTTCTCCTACAGATGGACTGACAGACTGAAAGACAGATCGATCGACAAATAAAACAGGTCGAAACATTAATCCACGTGTGAGAGAGACACAGACTGACAGACAGACAGACAGTCAGCCTCAGGTGAAATGCACTGATGTTGTAGTTTCACATGAACCATGGACAAAGTTCACTGTGTGCTGCAGTTAGAAATTGATTCAAGAGAATAGTTTTCATCAATAAGGAAGAAACATGTTATTTGATCAAAATCAGATGATGAAAAACAGGTGTAGAGGCAAACGAGCAAAAACAAAACGGAAAGCTACGGAAGCCCTAAGCGGACATGCATCCTTTGATTTTACGTACTCCACTTTCCAGTGATGATGAGTCATTTATGGTTGTGTTTGTCTCAATATCTAGTTATTTATTGCTGGTTAACAAAGCTGGTTTTCCTGGGAAAACTGGAAACAATTCTGGCGATCTAGGAAACAAAACAACATGCTGGTCGCCGTAATGGTTGATTTCTGTTTTGTGCTTTTGCAACTTTGAGGATACGAGATGAATAAATGGATTCTAAAGTAAGAAATTATCATCTAATCAAAGACTGGATGATTCTGTGATCTAAACCAAACTATTTGGATAGAGAATAATAGATTTGCTAATGGCAAACATTCTGTTTTTGCTCAAGACCCCAAGTTTAGAAATGTACGGAGGCCCCATGTGGCACAAAACAAAAATCAATCATTAAAGCGACCAGCTTGTTGTTTTTACTTTCTAGATCATCAGAAAGTCATCCCGTTTTCCTGGGAAAACAAGCTTTGTTAATCTGAGATAAATAACTCAGAGATTGAGAGAAAAAACAACCAGAAATGACTCATCATCACTGGAAAATGGAGTATGCTCAAACCTATGGATGCATGACCACTTAGGGCTTCGGTAGAAAGCTAAATATTTGTAGAAAGTTAAAATGTCAAAGTTTTCTAACAAAATAGAGTCGAACCAAATCTGACAAGCGTGTTTTTCTTCTTTGGGTGAATAATTTATTTGAGTGTTGGCGTGCTAGTCGGTGGAAATCAAACCAAATCACAGGTAGAATCCATGTGAAAACACAACAGGTAGACAGATACACAGTGCACAAAGTATAGGGAGGACAGGGTGCTTTGGACGACATGCCTCCGAAGGCTATACTTTCTGCCTCTGCTTGACATTCCCCGATCACAGAGTAGACAATCAGATAGACCGATCAATAAACAGTGAATATCAGACCCAAGCAAAGCCCAGTTTGGAGAGACAGAAGGAGGGATGGATGTAAAGATGGAGAATAGAGAAAGACAGGAGAGTGGAGATAGACAGAGGACAGGGGGACAGCAGCTGGCTAAAGTTACACAAACAGATATATCAGGCTCGTGGATGCAAGACGAAATATGGAGTCGTGTGTGTCTTCATGTGTGTGTGTTTTTTTTGTGTGAGAAACAGGGTTAAAAATGATGTGACAAGAAAGAAACAAACCCAACACTGAGACCTCAGAATGAACAGAAGTATAAAAAATAATACCATAAAAAACAGATAAAGCGAGAGTTTATAAAGACTGAAAGTAAAAAAAAAAGGAGAAGACAGGAGAAGTGACACCAAATGGAATAAATCAGAACCAAAGGAAGTCAAAAAGGAAAGTGTGAAGTGGTTGTATTTTGGGACAGAAAGGCCTTTATTGAGTCTTTGGTATGAATTACCTTTATATCCTGAGAATAGGAGAGGGCACGAGGGAGAGAGGGAGGAAAATTAGGGGAAAAAAGTAAATCGAAACAAAAGCAGCACTGCCAAATATACTCTCTGTGATGGACAGATGGAAATGGCAGCCAAAGGAAGAGGAGGAGGAGGAGGAGGAGGAGGAGGAGGAGGAGGAGAGGAAGAACAGAGATGGGATCAAGGGAGTGCAATAACACTGCAGGAGAGCCTTCACAGGGTACAAAACGAGCAGTTCATTCAATTTGTCTTCATTCACATTGAAATCACACACGAGGGGGAGAGGACAAAAGGCAACCGAGAAAGAAACGAAAACAAAAAAACAGAAAAGGTTTTCAAAATCAACAAGAATAGATTCTAAGTTATCATCTAATCAGAGACAGGGTGATGTTTATGTCAATACCCAACCTTTATAGAGAATAATACATACATTATTGCAAACATTGTTTTAGGTATGGAGGCCCTCTATGGCCTGCTGCACCAGCTGAGAGCAAGGTTTGTTTTATGGGTCCACACTCTATTTGAGTCTAGTTCAGTCCTAACTTCCTGTGTGTCATCGTTTAGTTGCACCACAGAGATGTAGGGTCAATCTTACTTGGTAGAGTGCAAGGTAAAAACTAACCAAGATATTGAAACACACGTTTTTACCTCCTGTAGCCAATTTTTTTAATACAGTGTTTATCACAGTGCTACCTCTCGTGAACTAAATGTCCCTCATTAGCTTTGATTAACTGTCGGGAAATCCAAAAACTGAAAATGAATACTTGAAAATGTATTTCAATATTATAAAGCACAGCTGCAACCTTAATCTACAGCGTGTGTGACATAACAGCAGTGACATGTAGTGGTAAAAAAGAGGTCATTTAGCAACCGTATTTAACGGAAGACTTTACACCTACGAGGAGGTACTGTAAGGTGTAAGATCGAATTTATAATTCATGACAACGTTAGAACTATCTCAGCTGGTGCAACACCTCAGTAGAAAGTAAAGCGTGAACTCTGTCATCAGGTCAAAATTACGTTCAAACTAGATTATGTCTGAACTAATGCATTGCTGCTGTGTTCATCTTAACTTTCCGTTTTAAAATCCTACACATGGTTTACAATCCGTGCCGGCTGATTCGCACCTCTAGGTACTGTTTTGAAAAATGTGGGAACAGTTTTGTAAATGTAGTAAAATGTGGGAACAGTTTCTCAGAATGTGGGGAAGGTTTTGGTACAGATATGAATGCGGCTCTTTTTCCATCTCAGCTGACACCAGGGACGCCCCTTTGATAGGCTATACTGTACTACTGATGTACTTCTTCTAATGCTTGGGTTAGAGTTTGTTCTGGGACATATTAAGTTGACTGACATATTGCTGTTGGTTGTTTAACTTTAGCTTCATGCTTTTTTCCACTTATCAAAACCGCCACAGGATCTACAGGATGTGCGTTAGCCGCCATCCGTCCGCGGCGCACACAGATCCTGTAGAAACTGCCAGTAAGGGCTCGTTAAAGACTAAATGTAAGACGTACCAGTTTATCTACAGATGCCACCAGAATCTACAGAAAGAGCTCCTCACAGCTGATTAAAGATACTTAAGGATTCAGGTGAAATACAAAACATTCTCTTGGTAGCTTAAAAAGATGCTGACTGTCATCGACTTCTCAACAGATGTAAACATTGACTGTCGGTTTCACGTGGGAGTCGAACATTGGATGAAAGTCCAGGACCCGTGAAACAATCAGGACGGCCACCACGGTTTTGAAACACTGGGCCATGAAACTGTATTGTTTTTGTAACTTCTATCATGGTAAACAACACTAAACACGCACTGTTAATCCACTACAGGGTTTTTAGACAAATGAAAGTTGGCCGTGTCGCTGTTAGAGATCATGAAAAAGGAAACCGATCAAAGTTTTAAACACTGAAACAACCTCGGAGGACAACAGACGACAAACAGAAGAGAAATACATCATAAGTCACTGAAAACAAGCTGTGAAGACAATTATAATTCTAATTGTATACTTTCTCAAAACAACCAAATGTAGGACCTGACGGGGAAATCAAAAGAATCGTAAAAATAAGTGGTTAAAGTTCATTTTGCTGCAAAAGATACAGACACAAAGCCTGTAAATGTTGGAAGCCACAGTAATGATGCATGTTATCAGAGATGGCAAAAGGATGGAGGGGAGGAGAAGGAAACAAAACCAGATATCTAAAACAAAATCCTTCTTCATAAATGATTCAAATCAAAGTCGCCATCCTCTTCAGCCACAGCTCGTTAACACAGGAAGAAATCAAAAGCAGAGGAGGGAGGGAGGGAGAGGAAAAGCTGGTGATGAGGGGAAGAAGAGGAAAAGAGTACAGTACCTTTTACTCTAATGTCCGGGTTGTGAGCTTTAAGAAGGAAAGAAAAGTACAGGAGAAGAGGTAGATAGAAAGAAAGTGTTTAGTCCGGATACACAGGCCGAAACGGATTCAGCAGGTAAGAAAAGATTCAGAAGCAAACAAAGACCAAACAGAATCTCAGGCTACACAAACACTTATGAATATTATTGTCTTGTGTCTTGTGGCTTTAGCGCGGCTCTTTCCAATTATTGAACTTGGAACAGACTGGTCGGTGACGTCAGAGTTTCCAGTGGACTCCGACACGAGGCATTCATGTGATGTTTAGAGACAGAAGAAGAAAATGAATCCTCTCCGTCTAAACAAACACACTGTTTGTTGGCTGAGCACTTTAACTGGATTCCTCCTCATCTCACTACTCTCAGCATCCCTCTCCGTGTTTGTGTGTGTGTGCATCCTTCCATGTGTGTGCTTAGAACCGACAATAACTGGAGCCAATTTGTCGCTCTTTCCCAGCGTTACTGTAGCTGTCTGTCTGTTTGACAACAAATAGCTTTTTAAGTGTGGGGTTTGGTGAAGAGCTGGAGCTGCCACAAAGGCCCCGCTGCTCAGTGTGCGGTTCCCTGTTTGACTATCACAACACAACAGGACGACGTTTCTACACTCGCCACAGATTCTCACTCAAAAAAGCACATTACCACTGTCAGGGCTGCAAATAATAAAACATGGAAAACTTGATGCATCAACAGAAAACAAGAGTGCTCCCTAAGAGGTTTGATCTGTTTTAAATGAAGAAACAGTCCAGGTACATATGAAAAATATGCATAAATCATGTATCTCATGTATCTACGTAGATGTATACTATATGTACTGTGTGTATTGGGCTCATCCATGTTGCCTTTGGAAAATGTAACCTGTGTTCTGCAGGAATACGGGGCTGGCCTTTAATAGTAAATGATTGGAATCAGCAACTGAGAAGACCACGAGTTGTCTGATATTTTGTTGGTTGAACGTATTAAAATGTATTTAGCCGTATGATTGTGAACAAAGCAAATCGGAAGTAACAACATTGAAGGCTGTAAGCGTAACAAAACGAGTTATCGCCCAATGTTTTAAACATGAGCCTGATTATCCACAGAGGATGCCAATACTCAAAAACAAATAAAGCTGGTAATTAAAACCAGGAGAGAACACTGAATATAGCTCTTTCATGTAAGAAAAAAAACAAAACACCTTTTCATTTACATAGTCGGAGCGGAGCTACAGGCTGAGATGCTGCTGCTAGCTTGTTGTTAGAGATTTAGCTCGTTTTAATGTACTGTAAGGATTTCTTCAGGTCTTTAATTGTCTCAAAGGCTAAGATATTTCCCTCTTCCAAAAAACAACATATTATTTAAAACTAGTAACAAGCCAGTTTTACAATAAAAAAACGGCTTTTTGTTTTTTCAAGTTTTGATGGCGGAAAGCTGAGCTTCTGTAAGCTTCTGTTAGACATTTAGCATGTTTGTATCTGTGGCTTCAGCCAAATCCGAATCAATTGAGGAAACTGTGACGTAAGTTCAGCCCCACAAAGGCGTACTTTCTTTTCTCTCAAATCTGTTTGAGTTTTTAGCTGACATAATCAAATATATTTATCATATCTGTTTGTGTCACGTCTCTGCATCTACTGTAGTGTTTATGTCAGTCTTTTTTAACATTCTGTGTTGTAGCATTACTTTTCTTGTTTCATGAGAAAGATTAATCCCTCCTGTAGCTTCAGTTTGCATTTCCTGATCCCTCGATTATCCACACACCTGTGCTTGTTACAACTCCTCCCTGATTTTTCAATAATCTACCCTCTTAATTCCTCTTCTCCTCCCTCGTTGTTCCTCATAAAGACTTTGTCCAAGTTTATTTGTTGCTTTCATCAGACAATCACCTGAATTCATTCACTGTTATTGAGCTAATATTTAAACTTTATCTTCTGTCTCTGATCTGCCGGGCACTATCACATGTTTCAGTCTTATGGCTACAACTTTGCTGTTTTAGTTCTGCCTCATTCCTCTCACAAGCAGAAGAAGTGTTTCATTGTTTAAAGAGATTTCAGGAGTAATTAGAGGCAGAAATGACCTGAAGAGATGCAGCTTTTTGTTGAGCTGCAGACTGAGACGGCCTATTACAATAACCTCAGGTACTAAAAAAACAAGTTGAGCGTATTTCTCAGAGCGATGGCCAACCAAAATACATTCTAACAGATAATTATGTTTTTTTACAACCTTCATTTCCACTTGCACCACTAAAGTCCCTTCAGTTTTTATTGAACCACAGCAGAATCCTACACAAACATGGACATCCATTTAATGAGCAGCAACATTGTGCTAATCTTCTTCTGGTAGAACCCATGAAGAAAAGAGAGACTACATTTAATGTCATGACTAACATTACTTTTTTTTTTTTTTTTTTTTTTCAGGTTTAAGGAAGCGCCTGCAAATTCTCCAAACCATTAAGGAGGTAAATCATGACGTCATGCCTGATTCTGCAACACAACTTAGAACAAAAATAGAGTCAGTTTGCACAAAGAATAGTAATGATTTTCCAGACATCATTTCAGGAAGGTTAGGGACACCAGTGACAAAGATTTGGTTAAACACTTGCATGTGGAGTGATAACTTCCATGTTCAGATGCTCTTTTTTCCCCCTGTACTGTCTTTGTGTGTTTGTGAGTGTGTGTGTGTGTGTGTGTGTGTGTGTGTGTGTGTGTGTGTGCGCGTGTGTGATCCACTCACCGATATTGCAGTGCTCTCCGGTCCAGCCCTGGTCACACTCACACTTGCCCTCCTTGCAAACACCGTTCTTGGTGCACATCGGGTGACAGGCCTTCTGGTCGCACAAGGTTCCCGTCCAGCCCTCCTCACAACGACACACACCGCCATAGCAGACGCCGTGGTTGCCGCAGTCCACCTCGCACACCTCTGTGAGAGAAACAAGCAAAATATGAAGACACAAATACATAAACTACAATATGTTTTCAGCTCAAGTTACTGACTTAAAAAACCATTCGAATCAAACTGTATATACTGTAAGATATGCAAAATGTGAAATATGACTCAGGATAAAAATAACTCACTTTAGAATTCAACAAAGCTAATCCCACCTATTGGCAGGTAAATAAAATATGACAAATAAACCTCCCTTTTAATGCTGAATCAAACATGTTTTTGTGCTAAGGTTGAGGAGAGGAAATGAAGGCAGACAGTTGTAGAGACAGGATAAAGAAACAGCTTCATGCAGTTATATGTTAATAAGTGTTTTTATTATTCTGATGTCGAGCAGGATACAAACATGTTGACAGGAGGACTACTGTCGCTTCTTTTATCACCTCACAACGTCTGCATGAAGGAGTAGAATATGCTGTTTTAACATGTTGTTTTAATACAGGAAAAAAACTTATTGCATAATTAGTTTTGACTTTCTGACTGCACACGGAGCGGGATACAACCCCATAGCTAAAAAAAAACCTACTAGCAAAGAGGAGATGTTGCAGCTTTACAAAATAACCGAACAAATCACCCCAAAACCTTCATTCTCTCTAATGTCCAGCAGCAGATGTCTGAGGCCCTGATTCACAAAAGGAGTGTCTGACTTTTAAGCAAACAAATCAAAAAGACAGCGTGTAATTCTCACGGCGTACATATGAAGAGAAAAACGCACCCCTGCAGAGAAAAGCGTCTGTGCGCTGATGCCGTTTGCGTGTGTTTTAATGAGCCATGCTGCACAAATTTTGGACAAACACAATGATCAAATACAGGATCAGAGTGGATGGAAGAGACTTCACAGGAGACTTATTTCAACTGGTAGAAAAAGGATTATAATATGTGACATTTGTAAGGAAACTTTCCAACTGTAGCTGACTGTACACTTCTTTATCTCTACACATGGAGACTCTTGTCCTCAATGTAACCAAAGTTCATGAAGCTGGTTTTGTCTATTAATCAAACTGTGAAAAAGAAACTGACGGACAAAGATCGAAAATCTTCTGCATGCTTTGCTCAGTCTCCATGAATATCAGATATTACTCGCTAACCAAGCGGGAGCTATAGTATAAAACAATCTGACTGAGGAAGGGAAGAGTTTTGGGTGAGATGGTGAGATGAATCTGTATGAGACAGATGATTTATGGAAATTGCCAGCCTTTGGTAGTGCGGAAAAGTCAGCAGTAATGAGACACACAAATGGTGTGCGTGTGTGTGTGTGTGTGTGTGTGTGTGTGTGTGTGTGTGTGTGTGTGTGTGTGTGTGTGTGTGTGAGACGCAGAGGAGGTGTTTGCTTTCAGGTACTGGTCGATAATCTTACTAGGAGCATTATTAATCATGACTCTGTCTTAGCTGTGTGCGTTCTCTTATCACAGCACTCTCTCAAAATGCATTTAAAGTTATTAATTAATTCATATCTATAATTAGTGTCATATATTAATCTCCTGCAGACATCAATAGGCACTAAACTGAGCGGGTGAACAGGAAGCAGCGGAGCGGTGCATTGCAGGGCTCAAATAGAACTGATTGTCCTCTAAACATAACGACCTGTCCACACGGTTTAATGAAACATTAATTAAAAAATCAATTAAGAGCCCGAGGCCACAAAACTGTCCCTGATTCACCTGGACCTGTGTGTGTGTGTGTGTGTGTGTGTGTGTGTGTGTGTGTGTGTGTGTGTGTGTGTGTGTGTCCGTCCTGGACTGAACTCTGATCCTTCACAGCTGTCTGTCTCTCTGTGTGACATATTGTGGAAGGACCTGTCAGGTATAAAGCTTTAAAGAGAATAACAGGTGATTGTGTTTCTTAATTATTAAAATGTTATTTCCCGCTCATAGCATCACACATGAGACCTCTTTTAATGTCCCTTAGGTTTCTGTTTTGATATTTAAAAAAAAAATTAAGAACAGAAACCCAAAGATTCACGAGTATCTGGATTCTTCTTTGTTTTCTAGTTTCCTAAGTTTCTGTTTCTTTTTTTTTAAAATCAGCGCAGTGTTTCCAGAGTTTACGGTACGATTTCAACAGAACACTCAAAGGCCAATAGCACACTTTGTAAATGATCCGACGTGATGTTGCTAAGCCAATCAAATATCTGCATTCCTGTAACGATGCAGCTCAGTGGATTTATTTCAGTTTTAATGAACCTCAAATGTTAAAGCTGATAAAACTTATTGTATCAGAGCTTTACTGAATCATCAGCTTGTGAACGGTCAGTTAAACCCGTCCAGCCGACTGCTTCTTTTGTTTTAAGTCATGTCACAGTGCCAATGAGCATGGGAAAAACACGTATTTCTAGGTCAGATGATTTTAATTATTGTTTTGCAGCCATCATGACACACAAAACAGATGTGACAAGGACCAACCACTTAGGAAACGATTTCAAACTGACCAAAACATGATAAAAAAAACTAAAACATTTAAAATGGTTAAAGTGATCAAGGTTCCACCAATCAGGGGTATATGAGATAAAGGTCTCAACCAATAAGATCAATCAAAAATAAAATTTAAATAAATAAATCAGCCACGGTCAAAATAGGTTTAAGGCATATAGTTACATAAATGCGTATGTGCAAATATGGCCTCAGCTTGTTTCAGTTCAGTGATAGCAGCAGGAACAAAGCTATTTTTGTCCCACTTTGTTCTGCACCTTGGGACTAAAAACCTCCGCCCAGAGCGAAGAAGCTGAAGAACAGTGTGCGAAGGGAGGGAATCATGGTTTAAAATCATGGAGGTAGCTATCCGCTGTGGGACGCTGGGAAGAACTGAGACTCACCAATCAGTCGACTCGACCATTCTACAATCTCGTTTGGGTAATTTCTAACTTTTAAAGATGTGTGACTGATTCAATAAAAGCACAATGACACATTGTCCATTATGGTTCAGAGCGTGAAAGTACGACAGTTTACAATTACAGACCATGATGAGCCTCTTTACACAGTTAGCCTCAAAGCTAAATTTAGAATCAATGACAGTGACAAGGTATTAACAAGACGCACATACTCGATGTTCTGAGCGTTGATTCTAGTGGCGTCGTTTACGTGAGCTTTCTTCCTAAAATCAATGATCATATCTTTAGTTTGAGAAATGTTCAGCTGGAGGTAAGACTCCTCACACCACTGTACAGACATGAAGCTGTTCCATACAGATTTTAATGAACGTGTCTGATGAAGGAGGAGTCTCTGTGGACGACTGAACTTTGCTAGAAAATCTTTTGAACGATGCAAAAAGCAGGTATCCTAACAATTAAAAAAAACAGTGCAGCAACAAAACAAGCCGAGCTAACTCCCTGACTCTTCATATACAGTCTCTAGAAATGCATGATTTGATTAAAAACTCATATCTCAATAATCTATTTATCAAAAGTTAAAACTTGTAGAATCCAAATGGCACTCAAGTCTCATGTTAGTATCCAATACAGAGATTAGCATATCGTTCCAGCCCAACACTTAATGTGTTTTGTGTCTGCAAGTAAAAAAGGTGTGTGCATTTTTTATGTGCATGCAAATTATGTGTGTGTGTGTGTGTGTGTGTGTGTGTGTATGGCGCTCTTTTGTGTGTGTGTGAGAGACTGTCCTTAATTGGATGTGTGTTCGATGGTTTTGACAGGACAATACTCAGCAAAGGAGCCCAAGGCAACACAAAGAAGTGAGAACACGCACAAACACATACACACCACACACACACACACACACACACACACACACACTCTCTTTCCTTCCCTCTTGTCTTTGTTTTTATGTCGAGCCATCTGTTCCTGATCTGAGTTCCTCCTCACCTTTTTCTCCCTACATCTGTGCTGTCACTTGTCTTACTCTCTCTTTCCCTTTATCTCTCTCTCTCTCTGTACTGAAGCACAAACATCGGTGACTAGTTCCAAGACTAAAAACAAACAAACAAACAAACAAAAAAAACACACATCCCCTTGTGGACATGTGAATTATACCTGGTGTGTGTCAGGAGCAGAGACATAAATACTGTGAGTTTGTTGTATTGGATTGGAAAACCGGTTGAGGATGAGGTCAGGGTCAACAATGACCGCTGAACGCTTCCTGCTGACGGTTTCCTGCTGACGGTTATTTTTGGTTTCTTTAACCACGACCTAACTCTGAACCTATACGAGCATCTTTTCTTCCTGCAGCTAACCAAACATTATCATTAGAAGTGGCAGATCACTAAACCAAACACTGTAAATCTGAAAATGACTCAGGCACTTTGGACGGCACAGTGAAGATAGTTTTTTCACATCACAGACCGCATAAAAAGTGTTACTAATCCCAATACCGAAGCCAATGCAGAAATGCCTTTAATGTGCATTTCTTCCTCATGTCCAGCAGAGGTCAAAAAGGAAAGTTATGGGCCTACTCCTCTCGTGGTTTACCATATTGGTCAGTATATAAAACAGGGTGTTTTTCCCTGACACACAACTGAAAAAAAGCCTTCTCATTATTTGTTGGAACCTTTAGAGATGTAACCAGACGAACAGTCCGATGCCAGTGGATGGGTGTATTAGTCAAGTGTGTGCAACAATACATGGTTTAACCGCCTCCAAGGACAGTGAGAGCTGAATAGTTTGAGAACTTGTGTCTAAATATGGTAATTTCTCATACTAAACAGCCAAAATGACAAACTTTATGCAACTCATATACAGTCTTTGTTCTAAAAACAAATGGAAAGTTTCATTTTGACCCTGAAATCTTTGTCAAAATCAAATCGAAAGTCTGGTTGCATCATGTTTTCTTGTCTTGGAAAAGTTTTGTTTTCATCCTCTCATCACAGATTTGAAACCTGCAGCCTCGCTGAGCTGCTTCTTCATGCTGTCCACTCGGTTGCACTCTGACTCCTTCCCTCTGTCAGGAGACCGCTCTCCTGTTTGCAGCTCCTACCAGCCACTGCTGCAGGCCGTCTAACAGGCTGTTAGTAATCCTGAGACAGTCCAACTTCTATTTTAGCTTCTCTTCATTGGCCGCCGGTCACTTTAAGAATTGATTTGCAGGATTTACTGAAGTCTTAATGTGTTTCAGCCCTCGGCTGTGTCACTGACCCCGTGCCTCTTCAAAATGAGCTCCTCGGGCGAGGTCCTGCCGCCCGTTTCAAACTGCTGCTAACTTCTATAAGTGAACATGTTTTTGCCGTCAGGGGATCACAGCTGCAGGAGAGTCTGCAGCCCAACTAAAGCACCATCATCCTTTAAATCACTCGGCAGAATTATGTTTACAGACGCAGGTTTCTGCATAATCGACTGTCTTACTCACCTTATGTCTTATTAGTTGTTTTACAAGCAACTTGTTCCGTCTTTTATTCCTGCTCCTCCTACAGGCTCGCAGCAATGATGGTGTTATCTTAATTATGTTCTGCCCTGTAATTGCTTTTTTGTTTTCATTTTATGCTGATGCTGCTCTTCTTTATCCTCTCTTAATGATCCTGTAAAGCATTTAATTAACTCTTTAAAGCTCGGTGAGATGCGGTTCTTACAAACGCTATAGAAATGTAGTGTTTTCTATTTATAGATTCTGTAAGAAGTGTAAGAAATCAAACACAAAGGGATATTTCACCACCCACACACACACACACACACACACACACACACACACACACACACACACACACACAGATACACACTCACCCAGAGAGCAGTCAGGCCCAGTCCAGTTCTGGTCGCAGGTACAGGTGTTGGTCTCTGCGTTGTGGGTGCCGTGACCTGAGCACTGGTCTGGACACATGGCCTTGGCGATCTCACAGCTGGCTCCGCCCCAGCCGGGCTGACAGTGGCACTCGCCGTGGATACACACGCCATGTGCAGAACAACTGGGGTCAATGCAGTCCACTGGAGACACAGATAGAAAAGAGTTGATTATGTTAGACCCCTTTGATTCTGCACCTGCTCCGAAAATAAAAACCCCACACAGAAGTCCTGACAGAAGATCAGAAAACACAAATAGCAATGCAAATAATCTTTAACTTCCACAAAGGAGAAACGGCTGTAGGGGAAAATAATTAGCACAACACAGAAGCCTCTTACGAAAAAATAAACATCAGAAATGGTTTGCTAGCTTGAAATAACGCCTCCACATGTGAAAAGTGGTGAAGTGTTTCCAGTCCTGGGCACTAGACTGCAGCGCTCCAGGCCTCCTTTGTTGTAAGGGTGAACATGCTCATTTGTTCCTTTTCAATACAGGAGATTGGAGCTTTGATGGGCGATGGGAAAACGCTTCAATAAACCCACTACACACCCACCAGCACCCAAAAGGAGGCAGCAGAGGGATATATCCAACTGAGACATAAAGAGCGAGTCATTTAGTGTCACTGGAACAGCAGACCAGGCTAGCATGAGTCAGCGGTTTTTAAAAGTTCTTCTCCACAGAGTGCAAATGGTGTTGATTGTTAAAGAATGTTGTAAAATAGATGGTTTTGTGAGTTAAAATTATCGCATTGTTAACTTTTTTAGCCTGATAATGACATTGTCAAGTATGTTTTAGCATCACGCTAACACTCTAGGATATATATTCCAGTCCATCTGTGAGAAATTGTAACTCCCCCGGAGAACAACGCACCAGCCACCTCTGGTTTGCAGATATGAGGACTTACAGAAAAGGCGCTTATTGTCGTTGTGTCTGCATTAAAGCCCTTAAACACTGGAAGATTTGGCATTAGGCGTTAACACGCCTTCAAGGCTGAGTCCTCCTCATCACATTAACCCTTTCAGTCCTGGGATTTACAACCAATGGGCTGTGATGTCTTTTCAATGAAATCCTGTTTTCGAAACCGCATACTATACTACTAGTACATACTGATTTGGCCAAAATGCAGTATGCAGTATGCACTATGTGAACAACTGCGAGATCTGCAGTATGCCAAAAATACCAGGATGTCATACTGATTCGGGAAAATTGTACAGTATGCATCGGACCAGTCTACCTCGCGTACTGTTTCCCACAATGCAAAGTGCAAGGTCAGGGATCAAAATGCCGGAGCGCAGCTGTTTGAACTCGTCGATGGCGGTGACTGAATATCTTGCCACATTATGAACCAATAACAAATATGACACGTTCATATATTTATAAGTTTACCACCTCGATTTTCCTGCTTTGTAGACTGTACAGTACATGTGCCACAGCTGGACAAGCAGCTGCAATTACAGGGTCCTTGGCTACTACTACTATTACTACAAATTATTCACAGCTGAGTAGTATACAGTATGCAGTATACAGTATATACTGCATACTGATTTAGATAGTAGTATGTAGTATGTGGTTTCGAAAACAGCCAGCAGCTGTAAATGGGATTAACACAAATACACACGCACACACACACACACGCTGCGTTGTTCAGTATATATTTTCTCTCTCTCTCTCTCTGTCTCTCTCTCTTGCTCACAGGATTAGTGTGACCGAGGATTGAACTGATCGGAAACTAATCATGTTATGCTAGCCTGCAGGTAATCACAGCATGTTCGCACCTGTGTGTTTCATTTGTAAGCACGTTAATGATGTGCACACTTAGACACATATGGAGTCAACCTCCCGGTGTTGTATTGTGTGTGGGTGTGTGTGTGTGTGTGTGCGTGTGTGTCCAACCAGAAAACAGCAGGTTAGTATCGACCTGTTCAGATTAAATTAGCGTGGTGTACAGCTTGTAGCCAGCTACCTGTCAGCAGCTAGACGTAACACTGCGTGTGTGTTAGTGTGTGTGACAGAGATTAGTGTAAATTAATTTACAGAGCAGCTGTAACACGATCTGAACAGACTACCTGTCAGCAGCTTCACTTCAGAGCTGATTTAAGCTCATTCTTACATGCAGGTCGCTGAGTTTATTAGCTTAAATTCTTTAAAAAAGGATGTACACCTGCAGCAGGTAACATGTACCTGCAACCATAGACTCTGATTCATGTTTATATTGGTCTGTGCCCATCACCTGACTTGACTTATTGTTATCTTGATAAAGCAATTAAATGCAGGCATTTCAGCACCTTACATAATATACAGCCACGACCAAAATGATCGCACACAAACACATACACACACAAACACTAACACACACACATTACACACCACACCACACCACTGGGAAAGTAATAATCAATGCCATCTAATGAATGCCAAACACTCACATAAAGAAAAAGAACAAATCCACAGAGATGTATTGCAAGCTGGAGAAAAGGCCTGTAGGTCTCCATGAGCACTAATTAACCAAATAATCACTGAAATTCAAATGTCAATAAACACTGCAAAGCCTTTAATGAGGCATAGGCCACACGTTATAATACAGTATAATACTCTAAAAATGTAACAAAGATATAACAAAGAATAAGGTTTAGACCTACTCTTTTTGTAAATGGTCTCATTTGTTATGAATTGGCGCTGTAGAAATAAAGATGGATTGATGTAAATCTGTAAGTGTAATTAACGACACACACTAGCAAAAGAGTTATCATAGCTTTCCTAAACTGTAGTAAAAAGGCTCACCTCAGCATAAATCATAGAACAAATCCACAGTCCAAAACACTTCAGACACCACCTTCATAACAAAGCACTAAAGTAGACCATTAAAAACACAACCCCACAGTAAAGGTTAAGTGATGTGCAATGACCTTAAATAAGCCAGTGTTTCACTATTTACTATGCTGTAAAAGCCATGAACTTCTAGGACAATATTTCTTTTAACTTATTATTGTCCTGACTCTACATTTATTACATCTAATAACTTTGCAAATAAAAACCAGTAAAGACTTGAATTATTATCCTTTAGTATGACTCCGTTTCTGTTTAACAAGTAAATGTTAACCGTTGTCTTCCTGCTCTGTAATAAAAGGTCTTCTCACCTTCCTCACAGTTCTCGCCCTTGTACCCGGTGTTGCAGATGCAGGCACCGATGATGCAGATGCCGTGTCCTCCGCAGTGGATGTCGATGCACTGGTTGGCTGGAACGTCGCACTCGGTGCCTTTCCAGCCGCTGTAGCACTGGCAGCGTCCGCGCGAGTACTGACCGTTACCGCTGCACAGCACCGGGCAGGAAGCTGCAACACACGCAGGAAGACAGGCGGGGAGGTGGATCAGAAACACAAAATGGATTTATGGACGGACAGCACTAATGCCCCCTCGAGCCTCCAAATGTTCATTTCATCAGAGTCTGCACCACGTAGACAAAAAGTCACACTTTTTATCGTGTTCAAGGCTTATAATGAATAAAAAAATGATGTACATAGCAGACAGCATCGCGCCCTGGATGCTGACATTCATCACTGTATCATAAACCTTTTCTTTGTCTCTCAGCCATTCTGGGACTTTCTTAGTTTGTTTTGTAACATTTAAGAGTTGCATGACATTTTGTTTATTATCAAGGCAACCAAACAAAAAGGGCTAATCCACCAGGCCTGTCGTCACTCATCTCTGCCCCAGCTTGGTTTAGAGTTCAGCATCCAAAGTGGCTCTTTATACCTATAATTAACTTTGATGAATGACAGCTGGTTAGCACTGCAGGACTTTAGAGTTTATATGAATACGTTTTGCTCATGTGAAAGATAAAGGTCGACTAAAGTGTATTTGAGATGGACTCTCTAAACCCCCTTTAACGTCTGTGTACACTAGGGCTGTGTTTTTGCGCTGGCAGATCCCATTTTTGATGTAAAACCAATGCAGTTTAGTGTTTTCAACACTCAATGCCCCTGCGTCAGCCTTTTTTTTGTTGCAACGCTCACAGCGTTCATTGTTTAAAACATCGTGTTTTACTGACTTTTAGCACCACGGGCAGCTTATGTGCGCTTATAGGCCTACGGTATATTCACCGGCTCAGGACACTGTATATCTCTGTGGATTTCTGTGGTCATGTAAAACCTTTGGGATTAATTAGGTGCCAAAGATGATTACTTTCTGTGTGGTGTGTCACGTGTGTGTGTGTGTGTGTGTGTGTGTGTGTGTGTGTGTGTGTGTGTGTCTAGGTTAATGGTGGTCCTGACTGAACAGCTTGTCAATATCACTTATCCATCATCAACATCGAGAAACGGCTGGAGAAACTAAACTGAGTCCTCTTTTCAAGGGAAGAAGTTCCAGGTCTAGAGCTGCTGCTAATGCCAGGACATGATTCATTTATTTTTTACGTTTTCTTCATGACATTTCCTTGGAAAAAGGAAAATATGGAGCTATTAAAGCAGACATAATGGTCTCTCACATGGAAATTGGAGGTAAGCTTTTGTAACATAGCACTAAAAAGCCCCAGTTTGAAAAGAAAAAAAAAAAAAGTGAAATAAATCAAAACAAAATTGTTTAAAAAACTCTTGGATAGGAGAACTTACTGGACCTTACAGGAGTGAGCTTGAAGCTGCTTTGGAGAGAGATATATATGCAGATTTAAAAGTCACTTTAAAACGGCAAGGAACTGTGATTTTGAATGAATAAAATGCCTTCATTGTCATGAGATGTTCATGCAGACATGAATCTGTCAGGAGAAAATGTAGCCTTTGGATGCAAGGCAAACTTTCATGCATTAAAAAAGTTCTTTTTTGACACAATTGAAGCAAACTAAGAGCGCTCCAAATGATTTCATGTAACCTTGTACAAAATGAAATCCTTTTCTTCCTCTGAGGTCTGAACGGTGATACGTTTTGGACTGATTTTTCATAGACCTGGTATCAAACAGTCTGAATGCACACAGGTGATCCCTCTGTGAAAAAGGTTGCCAAGGTAAAAAGTCTTTTTTTTTTTTTGATAAAGGAGGAAGCAGGTGGAGAGAGGCAGTGACAGAGACAGAACGGTAACACAGCAGAGCCTCCAGAGTGAGCGAGGTCACACTCGCTGCTCGAATAACAACCTCCAACAATTACCGCCTCTCTACAGGTGGCAGAGTGTTCGTGTGTGTGTGTGTGTGTGTGTGTGTGTGTGTGTGTGTGTGTGTGTTCTTACCTCGCGAGCAGTCAGGCCCAAGAAAGCCGGGGAAACAGTGGCACACTCCTGAGAGACAATCTCCGTTTCCATGACAATTCTGAGGGCACTCCATAATCGACTCTGATTAAGAAAAAAAGAGGAGAGAGAGAGGTAATTGGGTGGGCAGGGCGTGCGATGATCTCTAGATACACACATTCAGAATGAACACACCATACTTAGAGATCAGTGTTTTCCATCACACTTGGACTGAATAATTGGCATTTCTGACAAATGCAACATAGTTTACAAGACTATAACCAGCATGGTAGACAAAATCACCTGCTGTTTGCAGCTCGCTTGTTGGAACATAAAATCTAATTTTGTGTAACATCATCCCAAAATGATCCATTAGCTGACTTAACCGTTTTGCTGTGTTCTGAGGTTGTTAGAATATCTGATATTCGGGAGTTGTATAAGCCTAGCGTTATGTCGCACGCCCTCATCGAAGGGGCCATGGCGTCGAATCCGACGTAGTTCCTACTCTCTCCTCCCAACATTTCATGGTTCTCTTCAGCTGTCCTATCTCATAAAGGCAAAAGGCCAAAGAATATAACATCTGACACTTCTTCTTGATACAACATGTTTTATAACAGTCTTTTTTTTTAATGATCAAGAGCTTTAAACAGCACAGGAGCTTTAATAGATTCAAACTACAGAACACTTGCCACAAGAGAAAGAGAGAGAGTGGCTGTGATCCAATTCAAAACCACAGCTCTGCAGTTGAAGGTTTTAAGTCCTTTTGGGCGTTATGTCTACGTTTATGTCTCTCACAAACAGACAGAGAGAAAAGGAGGTGACACTGTCTAAATTGCATCAAATGTTAGGAAACCTTTTGCTGTGTAAACATTTCCAAACGCGTAATTTGGACAGTGTTCAGAAGTTTGCCTGCAATTAAAAAGTTTTTGTTACCGTGGTATTTCATCTTGGTTGGATATTGTTTTATTTTACTAGTTTTGGACTAAAGTTTACATTTCTGGTATTATGACATCCTTACTGTGTTCAGACAAAAAAGGAGAAAATTTTTGTTGCAAGTTGCCCCCAATTATTTTCACCAACTTAAAAAAAACAGCAAATGATCCGGCAGGCAAACACGACCTGCAAACGTTCATGCAGAATATTTCATGACCAAACGCTGTTGTGTCTCGGTAAATAACAACATCCAGAGGAACACACTTCCCATGACCTGTGTCTGGATGAACTGTCCTGCTGCTTCCAGCTCCTTGAGGCTGACCAGGTCTCACTAAATCACCAACAACATCCTGATGCAGGATGCTGATTTGTAAAAAGTCTGAATTTATACAATTTGTCAGCTGCGTCCGCGAGAAGACAAGAATACAGGTCTTAAAATGGTCGGACAACGTCTGATGCATCCCAGGACATCAGGACTATGTCATCTTATTTTGTAATTATCTTTTCAGGGTACATTGGCACCTTCGTTTTGGCTTTCTATATATTTACATCTGGTGAAAAATTTGCTTTGCTTTTTGTCTGAACACAGCTTAGGGCAGGTGCAGTAGTACCAACAATCAAGACAGTTTCCGCTCCTTAAAGTTCAAAATAAAGACAGAAAGATCAGAGCTGTTGAAAGCTATGACTCAAATTGGATCACAAAGAACTAGAAAAGCAAAAAGATGGAGCAGAGAAGGTCAGAAAGAGAAAAAGAGGTGGTCCAGTACTTAAAATGCTGGAGCTGATTTTGCTTCCCAGTCAGACACTGGTTGCCGTAGTTACAACCAGTCAGTCCAATCAACATATTCCTACAGCCAATTACCCCACTGCCTCCATCACTCTCTCTCTCTCTCTCTCTCTCTCTCTCTCTCTGTTGCACTCAATCTGCACACACACACTGTGACACATGCACACACACCTTTTATTTTTACAAACATATAGCTGCTACTGTACTTCTCTACCTTTTTAATGTACATGGCAGTGTAAGATGAAGATTGCAGGTGTTTTTACTGTAATCACATCTGGTCTGAGAGTGTACTCACCCTGAGATTAACCAGGGTTTCTTTAAACAAAGACACTTACATTTCTGATTTGGAGAGCCTTTTTTAGGGTCTCAAAAAGCTAAAAATGTATCCCAAAAAATGACCACAATTTACACCTTTCTCCACAAAAAGTCCAAATGATCAGAGGGATTCAATCTCATAATGATTACTCTTAACTTCTCTGCTTCTTCTGGGTCTAAGATTTCTCCCAACACATTTAAAGGAAAAGGCCTGGGTGAATTAAACCACAGATCCTTAATGCTCTGAGCACTTTTCCGATTTAGCCAACAATAATTATTTGGGTTTTTAAAATACATTTTTAAATTGTATTTCATTTACATGTAAACACTGTGTGACACTTCTTTATCAATCACTCTTTATACAGGAAGTAACTGAACATATACAGGAAGTAGCGTTTCAGTGTATATATATCTAAACACCTGTGAGTGACAGCAGCAGCGTCCAATCACATGGCTTGAGTTTTGGTAGAGGTCAGGCTGATTTACACTCCAGTCACTGATTGGTCGAACACTTTGGCTGCTCATCCAGTGGCGGTTCTAGACCAATTTTACTGAGGGGGCCAAACTGGGGCCAGTTGTTTTGTCAGAGGGGAACATTAAACCAAGGTGAAAAATGGACAAAGATAATCGCTTTAATATATATATATATATATATAATGTATCTATATATTATGCCAAATAATAGTGCACATCATGAAATACCATGATTTGTTTCAGTTAATATCACAGTAGATTGTGAGTCTGGTTGTTGAGTCAAATACTGTGTATGTGTTATTAGGGGGGTTCTTCCTTTTGTAGGGGTGGCCATAGGGGGGACCAAGCTCAGTGTTACAGGGGCACTGGCCCCTGTTGGCCCCTGCCTAGCACCGCCCATGTGCTCATCTGAGTGTTCAGGACGTTTACACTCAGGAACTTTTCCAGGACTGTTCTAGGATTTCAAGGACTTTAACATAAAGCTGTGGGTTATTTTAAAAAAAATGATGACTTGAACTCGGTAAGTTTAAACTGTGTCTACTGTAGAAGATTGCTTACACACTTTTAAATCCAACAATGTAAATAAGAAGTGGATGAGCCAAACTGACGTCACAGTGGTATTCAAACTTTAATTTTAACATTTCAGTTTGTCATTTTGGGCGTCTCCATTGGTGTTTTTTGAAGCAAAAAGAGACCATATTGGATAAGATGTTTAACACGCGGCTGCTACATCGTTTTTTGACCCCAAATGGGACAATTATTTACTAAATGAACATCATTCTTTAAGGAGGAAAACTCATTAGGGAAAGTATTGCTGTAGGAATTAATCAACGGAAAAGTAGTCTTTTAAAAAATAAAAAAAACAGACTTCTTTGCAGTCGCTCCCTGCTGGCCATTTAAAATGTTTTTTTAAGGCACTAATAAAAACAAAATCACTTTTCATTCCCATTTTCTTAAAAACAGATTTGACTTGAACGCACTGAAACATCAAAAGCATTCAGAATCCACTCAAACAAACACAGCTGCGTCTCACCTATGACGATGGTGTTATAAGACACTTGTTCCGTGTTGCGTCCGTCGTTGTAAAACGCCATGTGCCAGATCCCCGTGTCCAGGTACTGAATGAAGCCGGCCTCGTGCACGTTTACTGAGCGTATGTGTCTGGCTGCTCCTCCTGCAGACTCCTCCTCGTTTGTGTGTCCTGCATCGCTGTCGCTGAGCGCTCGTTTTTCTTTGGAAATAAGGCGACTACCGTCCAGCAGCTCCACAAAGTCGTACTGGAAGTCAGAATCACTTTATTAAATACTTTTCTTAGATATGAAGATAAAAAAAAGTGACATGTTTTTTCCTCTGATTCTGCTGAACACAAATCATTTAAACTTGTTTTATGTCGTATGGTTTTTCAGATATTCTCATTGTAATGACCAGAGTGCAAAGGTGTCTGGTAGTTTAATCTGCAATCGAAACACAATGTCAACATTAAAGCCATAGCTTTCAGTGGCTTGAATAAATCATCACAGATCATTTCAACAGCACAAGAAGTCCTCCAGGGATCTATTTCTGAGGGTCAATGTGACCTTTGTGTTTTAAGTACCGGTACTTGTTGATTGACTCTTCATTATAATTTGAATAACATTTAAATGTTCTTTTCATAAACTTGGATGAAGACGGAGCATCATAAAACAGAAAATATTCTTCTTCTGTCTCCGTTAAAGAACTGTTGCAGAGCGACATGACTGACAATCCACTGTAAAGGAAATAAAGGGATCTTAGATAGATTAGGTTATGACAAGGACATCTACACACACACTTCTGATCTAAAGTGCTAACATTAAGCTGCGATTGGATGGCATTGTATGAAGCTGTCTCTTACAGATAAGTGGATTAATCCCTCGATAGAAGACACGATCCACACAGAGATGTAAGTGGAGTCATTAAAGGGATAGTTTCTCTCTTTAAGGAGCTTATCTTCTTCATTATGAACACACAATCCACGGAGCTCTTGACCTACCAACACTGGCAAAGTGGCAAAAGGGTTTTAAGGTTTGGAGATTTTGAGAGGCAGGATTTTTTGTTGTTGTAATTTTTTGCCACTTTTGGTGTTTCTTGAAAATCAGAGGAAGACCTCTGATCTGATTTGATGAGATTGTAATCACAAAACAGATTAAAAAACACTTATTTAGATTATGTTTTTTTTCTTTTTCTTACTCCTCTTGTTCCTTATCTTCTCTGAAAAAGTCTCATCACTTTTTTATCCTAAACTCTGGATTTCACTCTGGCTGGTTTCATTTACCTGTTTAAAGTCTTTCAAAGAGACATCGCTGGCTTTGTTGTCTGTTTAAGTTCATTCCATTATGACTGTTGGCCCCGCCCCTTTCCCCATCTTTGTCAGGTGGTGACATTTTAATCAATAGTGCAGTGGAGAGGGATAGATTTTCATTCACACTCCATTCAGAGGTTATTCTGAGCAACACATCAAACAGCCATCAGATGAATGTTGAGGGATGAACGTCTGAAAAGGAACATGAGCTGTACCAATAATCAAACTTAAAAGGTGTGTGTGTTTGTGGGACCAACCTGTGTGTGTGAGGGCGGTATTCCTTTGCGTCCATACACCCCAACAAGAGCGTCTCTCTGGACGGAGATGTTGAATTTTAAGAACTGCGGCTGGTCGATGTACAGCTGGGACCTCCAAAACACGCCTGGGACAAAATAACAAAAAAAAAACAACAAGAACTCAACAGGAGTCAAAATGAAAGCACAAACACTTCCCCTCTTCATAGCAAATCCATTTAATCACACACTAAAGCAATACATCATATAAAACAGACATTTACACCAGGTTGCTGAACTGTATCTCAATCTGCAGCCTCGTCATCAGTTTAGTTGATGAGAGGAAGGATTAATACCAGGACAGAAACCTGGGGCCAAACTAGACCTGATCCCTAAATGCCTAGTAACACAAAAATCTGTATTGTGAAAATATCTCCCAGAAGTTTCCTGTCAGCATCGAAGTGACAGTCATGCATGTACCAGTATTATCAACATATCTCTTTTTTAAGATACAGGCTTAGTTGTGTGTTTACTGCGAAAGACGAGTCGAGGCGAAAAAGAGACTTTGTTGGCAAATATTTTGCAGGTTTATTTTCAAGGCTTTTATGCCTTCATTTAGAGACAGCTCAGTGGATAGAGTCAAAAATCTTTGAGAGAGTGGGGAATGACATGCAGGAAAGGACCCACAGGTCGGATTTGAACCCGGGCCGCCTGCTTGGGAGACTACAGTCTCTGTACATAGGACGCGCACTAACCACTAAACTACCAGTGTCTCTGTTTTCAAATATTGGACCTCAATTTGACTCGTTTGATTTAGACACTTTATCGAGTCAGAACAGAATATAATGTAATTTGTTTAAGCGATGTTCCCCATATAGAGAAGTATAATGTGCTTCTTTGAGTATAATAACTGTTATTGTGAGGAAATTATTTTGGATTTGAGATTCTCTGATTGCATTTTTTCCCTTTTTAATCCCAGACTGTTATAGTTGTTGATATCTTGCATTTTAAGGAGAGCATCAGAGGCATTTGTAATAGTATCAGTGTTCAGAACAGCTCACAGTGGGACACAGTGTTTCTGTTCTGTTTGACTGTTTAGATACTGTTATGTTCTCACCTGGTGGGACGTCTTGTAGCGCTCGTCTGCCCACATCCACCTCTCCTGTATCGATGGTGTTGTTCTCTAGAAGAAACATTTTACCTGCATGGAAAAATAAACACATGAAACAGAAAGTTCAAGAAATGCAAAGAATTTTAGACCTCTGATTATGCACAGTGAAGTCTTTCTACAAAGCTGAAGATATCAATAATAATGTTGATCAGAGCTTGTGACTGTTTTCTTACTGCATCAATATTTCAGGTGTACGCTGAGAAACTTTCACCAGAAGGAGGGATCAAAAAGTGAAAGCTGGAACTCACCGTTGTCTGTGGACACCATGAAGGTGTTGGGGGTCGTATCTCGCCCCCCTCCTCCGTTTTCAAACGCCCCGTATCCCTCACTCTCCTGGAGCTGCCAGTTCAGACCGAACAGGTGCATCGCTGCAGAGAGGAGGAAGAGGAGGAGGAGAGGTTAATACAGGGGCCAACATGTAAAGGAGACAAAGAGTTATAGAGTGAGGAGGAAGAGAGAGCAGGGAAGATAAAGACAGAGGGGAGATAAATAAGGAGTGGTCGTTAAAGGAAATGTGAAATATTAAAAGCAAGGAGAAAAAATAAGAATATGCAAAAGAGGACAACAGAGGAAAGAAAATAAAAGATTACACTTCAAAAAGTAAATTCTCAGAAACATTAAGTCTCTTAAATCACGACAACATCGCCTTATTTTGAGTTCTGCTGAGATATTATTTTGTAACCGGATAGTTCTGAGTTCAAGCATTTTTTTTTTAAGGAACTGAAAACAAACGGGTCGCACAGTCATGAGGTGCTTTATCAAAAACAAAACTGGAACTAGAGAATTTTTTTTATTCTGTTACAGCTGCAGACAGAGTGCAGGAGTTCACCTGTACTATACTGTACTCTACAGTACTGCATTATTCTGGTTATTAAAAACAAGACATTACCTAATATTGGGTGCCCAGGACTTCTAATGGGTTTTTTTTTTGCCACGGATATCATTTTATTTTTCTACAATAATATCAGAGTGTAATATCTGGTATTGTGACAACCCTAGTTGGGACTGCCTGACAGTTTATAGAAGCTTACACATTGATTACATTGTGTTAACAGTCTGCTCAAATGGCTCAAATGTCGACCATGGACATAAAAAGTTCATTTCACAGAGCTTCATAAACTGAGGCCTTCTCTGTAAAGAGAATGTTGATGATGCTGCTCGATGATTCTTGAACCATTAGAACAACAAAACTGACTGTTGAAACAGTTTTTATGTGCCAGTATTAACTGTAATGAAATGAAATGTCTTTCACAACAGCCGAGTAAAAAGACCTGATGAAGTGTTTGTTAAAGGAGGAGGAAGATGGGGATGGAAGAGGAGGAGTAGGAGAGGGATGAGGAGGAGGAGGAGGAGGAGAGGATGAGGAGAGAGGAGGAGGAGGAGGAGGAGGAGGAGGAGGATGTGGAGGAGGAGGAGGAGGAGGAGGAGGATGTGGAGGAGGAGGAGGAGGCGGAGGAGGAGAGGATGAGGAGGAGGAGGAGACGGAGGAAAAGGAGTCTCCACTGACTCCTCACAGCAGATATCAGAGAGAGACGTGTCAAGGACCAATTACTGATTCAACTTGGGAACATTTGGGCCGAGATAACCCAAGACACACACGCACACGCACACACACACACACACGCGCGCACACGCGCACACACACACGCGCGAACACACACACACGAACATCTCTGCCTCATTAAATTAGAGCCGTGCTGTGCAAGCCCGTTACCCACAACCCCTCCTGGTGAGGACAGGAGCAGCGGGTCATGGGAGAGTGCTGGCTAATCGACAGGAGCCCACATGTATGAGTGTGTGAGTGAGTGTGTGTGTATGTGGTGTGTGTGTGTTTGTGAGGTATGTGTTATGTGTGTGATAAAGTAAGAGGATTAATGGCCATGGTAACAGTCATACCAGACTGCTTCTCTTCAACATAACCTTTTTAGGAAATTTGGGAATTAATGAAACATCTCAGAAAAGTGGTTGTGATTTGAGGAATGTTATACCTTGTTATACGAGGTGGAGAGGGGGTGCAAAGTCTTAAATGTCCTGTTGATTTCTTTTCTTATATCAAATAACCTTTAACTTGTTTATGAGTTTGAGAACAGAGTCCTGGGAAGATTCCCTGCAGCAGGAAAACTCACAGAATCGATGGAAGACGATCTCTCCGCCTGTGTACAAAGCTGGAGGGGAATCAGCGCCTGTCCGCTTTTAACGTGTCCGATGAGATGAACAGACTGATCCCAGCTCAGTCCTGATGATCTGACTCACACTGAGAGGGAATACAGCAGCCTGACTTTGAAGAGCATTTTCTCCACGTGTTTTGAGGGGATGAATCGAAAAAGGTTTCAAACAGTCGATTGAGTTGATACATTTTCCTGCCAAGAAAGCTGAGTTTTCACAGTTGGGCCTACATGTACCAGGATGCATTGCAGCCCTGGTTTTGCTATTCTACATTTCTTCAGCTATATATCTGAATGGAACAGTATTTAAAAAAGATACATTTAGAGTTTTGTACACCCACACACATGCTTTTATAATTTATATTTAAAATGTAATTGGGCTTTTTATTCCTTTTTATTTGTAAGAACAGTGGATAGTCAGAAACTAGGTAAAGAGAGAGATTGGGGAATGACATGCGGGTAAGGAGCCACTGGTCGAATTCGAACGTGCACTCTAGACTGTACACTTCCAAAGATTGTTAACTTATACAGTATATATTCTCCAGCATGAATATTCATCTGAGCATCACTGACATCACTGCGTTTAATGAGAGTGCTGTTTGCATTTTACAAACTCCTGACATGGCTGACTCAGCAGATTAAGTAATTATGCTGCAGCTAATGCACAGATAAAACACACACACGCACGCACGCACGCACGCACGCACGCACGACGCACGCACACACACACCATGATTTACCATGTGAATGGACGGCTCATGGCTAATTCCTAGAAGAACTGAGACTAAACAGTAAATCCTCTCACATCAACATATTTGGAATCACAATCAGTCTCAAAAAAACTTCAGGTGAAATATTTAAATATTTTTAAGAATAATTTAACATTTATCCGTCCCAGTGGGGTCACAAAGACTAACTTCATTCGATTCATTATAACATGTTTACTGGACGGTGTGCAGCAGGTCTGGGAGCTGCTGAGTATTTGTTCGATGCAGCGTCTGATTTTATGAGGAACACTTCGGCACAATTAGCCACAGAGGAGGGTTTTATGTGTGTGTGTGTGTGTGTCTTTGTTAAACATAATTTGGCCTTGCACATAAACCCAGTGACCAGAAAACAAAACCCAGACACGCTTGATCCTCCCTTTGAGTTTGCATATTTGTCTCTGCAGGTAAAACAATATTTCCACATTTTGCAAACTGTTGTTGTGTTTTTGTGACAACTGGACTAATTTCTATTTACAGCGGGATTAGAGAACGTTATAGTCAGAGAAGCAGGATGTAGGGTTGCTACAGCGACAACTAAAATTATTCTTCCAAAAGCCAGACTTTTATTTTTTTTTTATTAAGATTTCTTTTGGGGCTTTTTTCTGCTTTATTGGATAGATAGGACAGAGTCGGAAATCAGGGAGGGAGAGAGTGTAGGGAATGAAAAATTAAAAATGAAGAGAGCCACAGGTCAGATTCAAAGCCGGGCCGCCTGCCTGGACGACCAAAAACTGCGCTCCCAAAAGACTCTTTGAACGGCTTTTAAGTTTATGAATGTGTTTGTTTGTTTGTTTTATTTATTTAGTGTTCATTGATTTGTTCATCGTCTAATTATGATTCAATTGGCCGCTCTGTTTACTCTGAGCTGCAGTTTGTGTTCAGTGTGTTCAGATTAACAAAACCAGTTTGAAACAAAGCATGTGCAAATATCGCCAATCAAAACATGTTGTCAACGTCTGTGCATGTGTGTGTTTGTGTGTGTGTGTATCCAGATATGTGTGTTTGAGTGTGATATTGTTTGTTTTCTTTTCCTGCTTGATTTTATTCATCTCTTGTGAGTTAATACCTGAACGTAGGTTTTTCGGGATGTGCTCATCCATGTGTGTGAGACAGATTCACTCGAGGCTGTGCGTGTGTGTGTGTTTGTGTGTGTGTGTGTGTGTGTGTATGGATGAAAAAATCCCAGGAAACTCTTAACAGATGCCTCGACTAAAAAACATCTTTCTAACAATTTTGCACGAGGGAGACATGATCACACACACACACACACACACACACACACACACACACACACACGAAGCTGAGCATGTTACACTAAAATTAACCCGCCCACACACGCATACATGCACACACACGGATATCTGGAGGGAAAAGATCTCAAAGTCCAAGGACCATCAGAGCTGCAATCATAATTGCTTCTGTTCATTTTGGGAATCAACGACCTTTAAAAAAAAAAAAAAAAAACCTCCACTCGTCCTCCCTCTAGCTCTTTTTTGATATCATTCCTCCTTCTGGGTTTAAAAAAAATAAAATATCACTCTCACAGAGTCTAACAAGCAGTAAACTGACACTTTCATAGCCAAGGAAGGCAAAAAGGAAAAGCGAGAATGAAAGGCGTCTGTTGGGATTGTCAAGGCTAATGCTAATTGCTTATTTTGAACCGAAGCCTGCATCTTTAAATCTGTTGTTTCAATTCTTTAAAACCAAAACACAAGCATTACAACAACGCAAATGCTTCACTTTTATCAACGTGCTGCAACACTTTCCGCTTTGTGAATGCCAGCTCCGGTTCAACCAAGTTCAGAAAAATACTGTTCAAAAAAGAAACTTGGATGAGAGCACGTTCAAGCGAAGTTCCAATATCAACAATCTAATTAAAAAGGGATTTAAATGCGATTCAATCCATTTGGAAAGTTGATGTCACAGTCAATTATTTCCAAGTTTTCCAAAGCAGCACAGCACTCTATCCAGTTTACAAGACTATTTAAAGAGGTATTCGAAAAGGCCATCAAATGTGTGTTCATATTATTAAAGGCTGAAATCGAGAAAGCATGCACATACACTTCTATGCTTTCTTTGTTCATCGCTCTCTCTGTCAGCTTCATCTAAACCTGAATAAACCTGACAATGAAATATTTGAGTAATTCCTCTGAGAAGATTCCTTCCTTTCATCAGCACCTCGGGAGAAAAGCTCTGCTGTGCGACAAGCATTCCTAAAGTTTGATGAACAACGTGTTCGTCTGTCATCGCTGGGTCTTCTGATGGAGACAATTATCACAGCCCTGAATCCTTATTTATTCATGCTTTTACAAAGAAACAAAGAGAAAAACGATCTGTGGTAAAAAAAAATGTTCTGATGAAGTGCAGCTTGCAAACAATTCATCCTAGTTTACTGCGATATTAAAACCATGTTTCCTTGGTGGATTCCAGCGACAGATTAGCGTAAAATCTGCCTACATATTAGCCGACATATCACCTGTATCACATCCTGCAGAGAGGGAGAGAGAGGGAGGGGGGAAAGGCCTGCAGAAAGGAAACCCTGGCAGTGTGTTTATCTGATTGGCTCAGTGAATAGCAATGTGTGCAGCAACAAGAAGAAGAAGAAGAACGCTGTGATACGGAGAATGAAGGAAACCGGACAAGATCAGAGGAGAGACGAGGAGCGGTAAAGAGTGGACACATCACAGGCAGAAGTAATGATTCGGACTCACAGCTCTGATAGTGAAGAGTTGTGTGTTAGTTGGTGTCCTTACCTATGCAGTAACAGAGCAGCACAGAGAGCAGCACAGACAGTCCTACAGCACTGAGGGCTGTACACCTGAGGAGAGGGACAAAAGAGATCTGTATTATTTCTCTCTCAACTTCTTTTCTGTTGGTTTGCACTTAGTGTACTTCACATAACAAAGCATCCCGTCGTTGTTTGTTGCAGCGTCACAAAGTTTCATTTTCGGGGAGGCTCTCGAGAGGGTATTGCATGCACAAGGTAAAATATTGTGCAAGTTTCTTGTGCTCACTACAAAGTATAGGAGGAGTGTAATAGTCTCTTCCCATCTCTGTGAGCTGTGTTATTTTCTGCTGAGCACCAGAAACTAATTCTTTCAGCCCATGTTCAAGGGCTCCGTAAAATAGTGTAATAGATAAAGAAAAAATGACTTTTTGTCATTAGATTTTTGCCCTCTTACATACACATTAGCAGGAGATAATCTCAATATAAGCAGCCAGAATTAACAGAGTCAAAAGTCGTTAAATACACAGAAAACTTTAGTCTGACTTCACCTCCTTTAGTGACCTGACATTTGTCCCCCGACTATTTATTAGAATTCAACCAAAAAGAAAAGCTTCCACTGATGACTACTCACAAGCACAACTGTTTGAACAGCTCATGAGTAAAAACAAAAAGCCATCAACTTTTCAGACAAAACCTTCCTGCATGAAGCTGATTTTGATCTGATTATGGACTAATCTAGAGGTTTAAATAACTTCCATCTCACCTCCATGAGCAGTACTTGGAGGATTTCTTGAATTTGAAGGCGGAGCGGGACAGCGTGTTCCTCGGCAGGGGCCTGGTGGGCGGGGAGTACACGGAGCCTGTTGCCATGGTGTAGCCAGGTGTTGCCGTGGAAAAGAGGGGGGTGGTGCCTGTGCCTGTCTTAAAGAGGAAGTGCCTGCAGGAGAGAGAAGAGAAGAAAAACAAAGAGGTCAGTCATGGTGAACTAGAACAGAACTTTGTTAACTGCGGCATTTCAATATCACACACTGTCGCCCCCTAGTGGTGGTTCTTATTTTCAAAGCAGAAGATGTTTCTTGAGTAAGCAATTATAAAAAAAAAAATCAGAATGTATTTGTTCTTTTTTGGACCTTTATTGGACAGACAGGTTATTGGATAGGGTTTGAAATCAGTGAGAGAGAGAGCGGGGGATGACATGCAGGACCCACAGGTCGGATTTGAACCTGAGCTGTCCGTTTTAAGGACTACTGCCTCCGTACATGGGGCGCGAACAACTTACCACCTGTCCCCTGGCGCCCCCAGGGTCTGTTTTTCTGATCTGTTTGGTTTCTAGACTCAAATTTCTAGAACAGAATCTACTAACAGAGTTTTACTAAAGTGGAAACGTGCAATAAAACAAACCTGTACAGACTTTTTGGTCAGCCAATCGAAGCCTTGCTAACATGCTTGTCTATTTCTGCACAAAACAGAGTGGAGAGAGGAGCAGAATTAAACTTGTGCTGCTGCAGGACCTGGACCATGCAGTTTCCTCCCTGACACTGTGTCCTCGTCGGATATACTAATGTTTTTCTGTGCGGTAGAGCGGAACGATTTTAAAAGTTGTTGCTTCCACTTGAACCTCAGTGGTGTGAAGTTAAGCACCACTTATGTACTTTCAAAAACCTGCCTTGTTTTACTGTTTTTTGTCGTGTGAAAACTAAACTTTTCTTGCTGTTGCGACTTGAAATAAAACCTGAAGGAGACTTTTTGATTTTAAAGACCAAAGAAGTTGGTTAACAGAGTGATGGTTGAAGTAGATGTAAAGTTTTGCTTGCTCATTTAAAAGCAATAAATAATTATAACAAAACACCGTTGGTCAGAAGATCAGTTTTAAATGACACAGGGAGTAAAACCACAAACAGGACCAGTGACCAGCGGGATGGCTCGGTTGCTCACCTGCATCGTGTTCTTTACCAGTTACAGATCTTTCTGCAGCAAGCTGGTCCACTTCTAACCCTTAGGCAGTAAGTCCTCTCTCTCTTTCTCCATCTCTCTTTTTCTCTCTCTCTCTTTCTACCTCTCCCTCTCTCTCTCTCTCTATCTCTTTCTGCATCTCCTTCTCTCTTCTTCTCTCCTCGCTCTCCTTTTCTATACAAAACAGATTAAAACGCCATGAAAAGTGACTTGTAAACTCGTCATCAGGGTTAACTATTCCACCCTGCGGTGAGCTGCAGTGAAAGAAAACAGATGACGATATGCGGTGCAGCTCAGCTTGTTGTCGTTCACAGCATGAAAAGGTGTAACAGCCTCCCCTACAAGGGAAAAGCCCGCTAGGAGTTTTGTTTGGATTCAACCTCAGAGACCTTTTAGCTCGCAGAGTCTCAGATTTTAACAAAACATAACGCTTTGTGTGCTTCATTTCTCAAACATCCCTCAGGTTTGGATGTCGTACGGCTAGGTTAGGCACTCAAAACTTCTCACCATCTACCCAACGTCAACATATCTTTATAACCACATGTTCCGAGGTCAGCCAACACAAATGAACAAAATAATTACTGCAGCAACATGTAAGTCACTACGACCCGCCATGTTAGCTGCACAATAGATGCAACTCTTTTAATCCCACACAACTGCCCCTCACTATGAATCACAATGCTGGCTTTATGTGCTCATTAAGTTGATTAATGAAGCCTGTGACGTGCATTCATTCTTCCCATTGCGCATCTCTTTACTGGAGCAGAACCACCTTCTGCCACCGATCCTGCACTGAGTCATTACCCATAATTCATCTGCAGTTTATCCATGCAAAAACTAAAGAACAACGGTGTGGTAAATCATATCCGTCAGGAACGTCTGACTCTACACAGAATAGTATTGATAGCTTAAAGCACAAAGGTTTTATTAAAATGTCTGTCTGCATGAAAAAGCCGTCAGGAGAAAATCACCGGCACATGCATGTATACGTCTGCAGTAATTACCAAGGTCACAATGTCTAATTAATGACAGAAGCCCAGCTAACGAGCATCTGTAATTACAATCAGACTGCTCTCTAACAAGGCGGTGTGATTAACAATTAGAACCTATTATAACGAGAACCCTTCAATTAATACCTGCCTGCAGGCGAGCTGTGACGAGAGACAGAAGAATGCAGGGGAGAGAGAGAGAGAGAGAGAGAGAGAGAGAGAGAGTTAAAGATGGAGAGACGGAAACAGCAGCGAGAAAGTTATAAATGTTAATGTTGTTTTTTCTGCTCATTGCAATGAAAGCGAAAATACATTTCCAGGCATTTAATAAGAAATATTAAGTTAGTAAAACAACCATTAAAAGACTAAATTATTTTATTACAGTTTTCTTTTGCAGCTCTGAGATCAGAACCTCCTCCAGAAAGATGCAAATGTTTTCGGTTCTTCTGGAAATTTGCTTGCAAGTGAATTCCCTCCATATTTATATTAAACCAGCTTGTTAAGTCAAAACCCTTCTGCTAAGAGTAGCACCCGGATGATTCAATTTCTTTAACTGTGTTAATTTATGGGATTATTTATTTATATTTATGAATGTAATACTTCTTTAAAATTGAGCTTGTTATGTTTTGCTGTGGTTTTGTGTTCTGACTTCTATAAATGAATACCCACATGAATGTCCACTTCAATAAAGCCGATTGAATGATTGGTTGGTTGATTGGTTGAGATATGCAGGTCTTTAGCTAAACCACTTTTTTTTTTTAATTCTCTGTAGCAGACATCGGTCATTGAAGTCAGTCTAGCTATCTTTGACCTTTTTCGTGTCCAGATGTTCAGTTAATACTAAATTAAAATAATGTAATCTTGAGTTTTTTTTATTCTTGACTCATATAAATATAAAAGATAAATGATGTAACTTTAGTCAAGAACCAATAGGAGCGCTCTCTGCAGCCGAAAACTAGGTAAATAGTAAACGCAGAGGGCTTCTTTTATGGATGATACCTTCCTTGTTAGGACACCGTTTTGAACTGCACAGACTGTATTCATTGTGACGTCACCCATTGGTTTCTGAACATTCATTTTAAAGCCAAACATTTCCAGTCGCCATGTGGGAAAAGCAGTCTCTAGCTAACTTTGGAGCTGTCTCAAAACAGTCAAAGAGCTGGTGATGGAGGACTCCTGATAAACAACTACAACACACCCACCTGTTCAATCAACCACGCCTCAAATTATGCAAATGTATGAATAACTCTTTGGCCTAATAAGCAGTGTTTCCAAAAAATGAAACGAGCTACCAAAACTTTGTTAAACCAGGCTGTTAACATGTTTATATCTGCTAAAGTTGGACATTTTAATATGGGACCTAATGGGGATTGACTCACCTATGGAGCCGGCCTCAGGTGGACACTAGAGGTACTGCAGTTTTTTTGCACTTCAGCATGTGCTTCATTTGTCAACCCGTGAAGATGCCTCTTGGTGACAAGCCTGCTCACTGGTAAAACTAACCCTTCTAACCTTAGGGCCTTAATTACTGCACACACAAGCGCAGTTATTGTCAAAAGATGTTTGATTTTTTTCTTCAGATTTCCACCTGGATGGGAATAATCTCAGCAGAAATCTAATCTAAGAGCATTCGCAGAACTTCACCTTATGTGGCATTTATGTTTCTTTAATGGATGAGTTTGTTTCCTGTGTTCACATAGCTGGAGGTGTTTGTGTCCTCAGAGTGTGTATGGTACATATTTATGCCTACTCACTTTATAATTCATCACTATATTAAATTGCACCTTGTCTCTGTGGAGTGTGGATGAAAAAAAGAGTCATTTAAATTCAGAGAAAAAGACCGAACAGGAGAGAAAAGTTTGATACTGATTAGGATTTTATAACAATTAAGAATGTGGAAGATGACATTTTTATGAAGTTTAAAAGAAAAACTTAAGTAACAAAAACCGAGGGTTTCATATTCCCTGTCTGTTTTGTCAGACAGATGCTGTCGCTGGTATCAGCCTAATTAAAAATAGATTAATTTCTAACACAATCTGATGACAGCGGACTCTCCTGAGAAACTAAAAAAAGACTTTTTTCCTTTGCTTTCTGTCTTGTTTTTCTATTTTTGCATTCCCTCCCTGCCTTTCATCACAAACATCACTTTCATATCAATTAGTTATGAAGTCGCAATTATCCCGTGCTGTGAAGCTGAACACTCCAAGGCACCACAGGAAGACTTTTACAATAAGTCACAACACCATATCTGCAAATACAGCTGCAGGTGTAACTCAAACCGACCAAAGAAAATGACCCCAAAACATGATGGGGGGGAAGTGATGTGGACATGTGATAGTCTGCAGGTCATCACGGTTAGAAAGCTGAGAATGATGAAATGCGGTCTGGATTTATGGGCGTATTCAGCTGTTCCTTCTTTATACAACAGACACTCAGGAGGATTTATCACACGCGGCTTGAATCACATTTGTTCTTTCACAGAAAAGGGACCAGCTCACCAACGGTCACACTGGAGTCAAAAGACTTTGTGTTTCTTTGCTTGACAAATTGAAAATAAAGTAATCTCTGATATCACCTTTAACACGTGTTACACAGCATTTGTATGACCGTGAGAGCTGTAGTCATTTGTAACTTTAAAGGATCTTGATCACGTGAAAATCTGCTATGTCTCTAAATTGTCCAAATAAATTTGAACTGCAAATGACCTCGCTCATTTCTGGAAAACAAATCTTAATCTTCTGTAAATTCGTTGGGATTCTTTAGGGTCTGGGGTCTTTCATTCTTTCTCTCTATTTGTTCTGTGATTTTGTTTTCTCAGCCACTTTCCATTCAGAAAACTCTCAAGGTTTTGCGGACTGAGGATCAGCTTCTTTCCCCGAGCTGTAGCCTCGATCACCCACGCTCATTGAACATACTCACATCTGCAATAGACTGTTTCTAATTAATGTAAAACTACTGCACATTAAGCTTGCTGCAATACAGTCACTCTGTGCAA